GTGGACATACGCTGGGTTTCTGTGAAAACAAGGATTGCCCAAGGAAAAGAAATCTGGAACATTCTCTTTGAACATATCAGTATGTCCTCTACTGTAATCTTGCTTGAAACAAAAACAAACCAAGGTTTAAAGTAACAAAAAATAAAAAGGTTCTTGGAAGATAATGGCAATCACCACTCTTGGGACTCCTGGGACGGCACCGCCTCCGTCAGCTATCAGAGCCTAGGCATGACCACAGTGCCTATGGATACAATTTCACAGGAGCATTATTTTCTGACCCTCTAGAACATTCCTGTTGGCCTTGGGTAAAACGAGCTACAGAAAACTGGAAGATTTGAGTCTGCAATTGCTACTGCTGCATAGTCTGCTCTAGGTGCTACTCTGAGCTTCCCTTAGGAGGCAGAGAAGGACCAGCCAGGTGGCATGGTGGTTAAGGTGGCTGAATCCCACATGGCCAGCTGGGTGGTTTGAGTCCCAGACCGGGTGATTTGAAAAATATGCCAGGTGCATGTACATGCATGCCCGAATTCCTGAGAGAATGGAGAAGAGGGGATTGCAGCATGGTCATCCCTACTTTCTCAGTTTTCCCCCTTCCTCTCTGTCTCCTTCCACAGGCCCTATATCAAACTTTTTTTAAAAAGGAAGAGGAAAGAGGTTGGAATGAGGAAGGTAACTTCCAGCAGAATAACTGGCAGCAGTAACACATGATTTCACTTCATTGTAGCCTTGATAGTTAATAGCCACAGGCATGGTAACGATGTCTTCTACCATTTTATAATTTAATCCATGTTTAAGAAACAAGGATAAAAGCAGACAGAAAATTCTTTGGAAAGCAGCCTGCTGTCTTTTACCCTGTATTGACTCCAAACATATCATACAATTTAGAAAGAGAGGGTAGATATGTCTTCCCTGTAAAAATTCCTAAGGTCAATGATAATTATAGCTGAGCGTTTCTACCAGAAATATCCTGAGTGCCTCCCTGAATTCCTCTTTGAAACCCATCATGGTATCTCAAGTAAAACAGAAAGCTCGGTAACTATGCAATTACCAGGAATCCAATTAATACCAATCTGAATAATTCAGCCTACATAAAAACTCTCTCATGCCTTAGAAGAAGAGGATATTTCACCTGAATTAGTCTAGGATATATCTCAAACTCTGTTTCTACTTCCTATATATATAAGTGGACATCAAAAGGCTTATAGAAAAATTTAAAAGTACACTTTTATTTTGGTGCAAAAATTAAGGTACAAGTTTATTTTGGTATAAAAAACTTGATTCTATGTATAGTTTGTTCATAATACACCTTTTCCATGAACTATTTGAAGACTTGTTATACTCTGCCTAGCAACAAATTTACTAGGTACTTTATCTGGCGATCAATTTTAGTCGTTACACTGGATGAACCTATAAAAGTTGAGATGGTGTTTGTACCAGTTAAAAAGGAACTGGAATAATGACCTCAGTGTCTGAAAATCCGTGGTATCAAATTCTCAAACAAATCACTGGCAAATTCTCAGTCCCAAGCTGAAGTTTCTAATGTTCTGTTTTGTAAACCGAGTGTTCTCTCCCTTAATAATCACACTGCAGGGACCAACAGTTGGCATAATGGCCATGTCGCTGGACTCCAATATAGTTGACCGTGGTTTGAGTCCCAGACCCGTGACTTAAACTCACGTCAGGCGCATGTGCATGCGTGCCCAAAATCCCGAGAGGAGAATGGAGAAGAAGGGATTGCAGCATGGCCATCCCCCGTGGGGGTGAGTCATCCCTACTTTCTCAGTTTTCCCCCTTCCTCTCTGTCTCCTTCCACAGGCCCTATATCAAACTTTTTTTAAAAAGGAAGAGGAAAGAGGTTGGAATGAGGAAGGTAACTTCCAGCAGAATAACTGGCAGCAGTAACACATGATTTCACTTCATTGTAGCCTTGATAGTTAATAGCCACAGGCATGGTAACGATGTCTTCTACCATTTTATAATTTAATCCATGTTTAAGAAACAAGGATAAAAGCAGACAGAAAATTCTTTGGAAAGCAGCCTGCTGTCTTTTACCCTGTATTGACTCCAAACATATCATACAATTTAGAAAGAGAGGGTAGATATGTCTTCCCTGTAAAAATTCCTAAGGTCAATGATAATTATAGCTGAGCGTTTCTACCAGAAATATCCTGAGTGCCTCCCTGAATTCCTCTTTGAAACCCATCATGGTATCTCAAGTAAAACAGAAAGCTCGGTAACTATGCAATTACCAGGAATCCAATTAATACCAATCTGAATAATTCAGCCTACATAAAAACTCTCTCATGCCTTAGAAGAAGAGGATATTTCACCTGAATTAGTCTAGGATATATCTCAAACTCTGTTTCTACTTCCTATATATATAAGTGGACATCAAAAGGCTTATAGAAAAATTTAAAAGTACACTTTTATTTTGGTGCAAAAATTAAGGTACAAGTTTATTTTGGTATAAAAAACTTGATTCTATGTATAGTTTGTTCATAATACACCTTTTCCATGAACTATTTGAAGACTTGTTATACTCTGCCTAGCAACAAATTTACTAGGTACTTTATCTGGCGATCAATTTTAGTCGTTACACTGGATGAACCTATAAAAGTTGAGATGGTGTTTGTACCAGTTAAAAAGGAACTGGAATAATGACCTCAGTGTCTGAAAATCCGTGGTATCAAATTCTCAAACAAATCACTGGCAAATTCTCAGTCCCAAGCTGAAGTTTCTAATGTTCTGTTTTGTAAACCGAGTGTTCTCTCCCTTAATAATCACACTGCAGGGACCAACAGTTGGCATAATGGCCATGTCGCTGGACTCCAATATAGTTGACCGTGGTTTGAGTCCCAGACCCGTGACTTAAACTCACGTCAGGCGCATGTGCATGCGTGCCCAAAATCCCGAGAGGAGAATGGAGAAGAAGGGATTGCAGCATGGCCATCCCCCGTGGGGGTGATTTCTCACTTTCTGTCTCTCTGTCTCTGTCTTTCTGGTGAGTGCATGCACCCTATAGCAAAAAACTCAAAAAATGTTTAAAAAATTTAAAAAAATAACCACAGTGCATTTCCTTTTCCAATATTTGGGAGCCTGATAACTCCAGACAGCACAACTAGAGGGGCTCATCATGGGTTATTTGAACCTGGAGCAATCAAAAGTGCTCACTGGGTGGCAATGCAGACAAGCCTATGGCCTGTGTCTTGTCAATCCGGGCCTTGAATACTTAGGAAAGAAAGCAAGAGGATTTGTTAAGTGGATAAAATACCCGTATTATCATCATTATCTTCACTCTCCTGTATTATGTTACATAATACAGCTGAGCTATTGATAAAGTTTTGCCTAAAATTTCAGGAAACCCAATTCTTGCATTTAATCTTTGGACTATGGTTCCAGTTGTGTGGTCATCCATTACTGACCCACTTCTAGGGATCACATTTTGATCTTGACCTTTAGATCCCTCAGAAAATCATGTTAGAGCCTTTTTTTTTTTTTTTTTTTTTCCTGGCAGGCTGATCATTGTAAACTGCTAGACATAAAATAAACAGAATTTTTTTCATTTTTCTATTCAGTCTTATTGTTTCCCTAGAACTAAGACGTGGACAAGTCTCTCCTTTTGCATGACTGCTACCTCTTGGGGCCCAACTTCTGTTTCTTTAGTGCAGATCAATGGGCTCCATGGTGAGGGCAGCACGGGGATCTGTGTTAAGTGTTGAGCTGTTAGAATTGAGCTGGCTTGTGATCATAAAAAATAATAATAATAAAAAGTGAGAATTTTGCAGTTTAATCAGTAGTGATCTTAAATTCATTATTTCACAACATGAACTGAGCAAGGTTTATTATATCCAGGTCATAAAACTGATTACTTCGTTTAGTTCTGAAATGAGCTCTGAACATCTGAGAGAACACAGGGCTTTTATCTAATGTCACGGTCCCTGGAGCTTCCAGAGAGCAGCAGCAGGTGTAACCTCGTTACAAACTACACTTTTAACCCAGCGAAACCAACTCTAAAGGGAGACGGGGCAGGGGTGTCAGGGAGGAGACACAGCCTCTCCCAGACAAATTTGGGGGCCCAGTGTCCCCTTGGAATCAATAGGCATTATTCAAATTTTTACCTTAGGAAGAAAACACCTCTCTGCCCATTTCCTTAATTTACATATTCTTTAAGAATAAGACAAGGCATATTCTACTAACTGGCCAAACAGCAAAAAAAGCAAAAGGATAACAGAGAATAGTCATTTTATCTTTGACATGTGCCTAAGACAGAGCATAGCGACACCCTGGCACATTGGAAAACGAGTACGTGAAGAAATACGTGACGTGATGATTCTGAAAGGTTTCGAGGCATCACATTTCTTCTGGAGGTTCAGTGTGTTTACAGAAGCCATGGTACGGATTCAGAGAGATCAATGCCTGGAAACAACGCAAAATAAAGGGGCCCACTCAGCAGCCACATGCTTAATTTAATCAATACTGACAGCCAAAACCAGAAATGGAAGTCTGGTGATTACCCAGCTAATTGGATTAGCATTTCAGGCGTAAAAAGAATCCGTGCAATAACTCAAGGCACCTTTTGCTTGTCAGTGTTAATCAACATAACCTGATAACTCACATTTCCAACTTGGTTTATGGTTGATAGAAAAAGCTAGTACCATGCTCAAACACATATGTAGGAGACACGAGTTGGCATAGAAAAAAGATGTGCAATGAACATACATCCGAGTATTTTGGTGGGTTCTCTTTTATAATGTAAATATGGCACTTCAGACCAGGAGGGGTTAGGGGGACTCTCTGGAAGGACACAAAACATGCTGCTGAGCATCCTTGAAACCACAGAAATCCCAGGAGTAAAATTTTATTCAAGCCTGCAGAAGAAAGTTCTAAGAAAATTGTGCATCAGCAGTTTTCATAATTCCTCTCACGGTAAGCTGAAATGATGATTTAAGTAATGACCTTTCTGACCATGATGTGGCCGAAAATTCCACTTGGCTTCTTAGTCTCCAGGGTCAAGTTTTTCTCCAACAGGTACCTTATCATATAATTGAAAGATACAATGATGCACTTTAACCTGCAGCTACAGGAAGTCTCCACAAAGCAAAGCTCCTGTAGAGCTGGCACTTGGAAGTCACCGAAATAATGATGTGGCAGTTCCATCCCAGCCTTTGAACAGGGAGGGCACTGAGTCCTTCTGTGTTTGAAACCAGAGACTTTGTACTCAGCTGCTACTGAAGGTGCTATAAAATGATCGGTTGTCAGTAAGATTAGGAATGCAATCAATGTGTCATGGACTCAAGTGTTTTGCCACATTGGAAGCCCAGAGGAAAAAAGAACAGCATCTCAAGTTGTTAAAAAGAAATTGAGCTATATGCAAAGCAAGTTAGTTAACAGGGCAAAGGATGAAACAAGGGCTACTGCAAGTCAACCAAAGAGGTGGGCATTCTCCCAAGTCCTTTCCGGCTAGAGGACAGGAGAACATAGCATTTTGAGTATAGATGCCATTTCAAATCACGGCTCCACCACCAGCCAGCTGTGTGACACTAGCCAAGTTCCTTAACTTTGGTTCTTCATCTGTTACTAGAGTATGCTAAAGCAATACCTCATTCCTAGGGCTGCTGTAAAAATAATTAAACAACTGGGGGCTAGCATGTGGCATGGTGGTTAAGGGCACTGGATTCCCACAAGGCCAACCACATTTTGAGTCCTGTACTTTGTGGCTTGCTTTCTCACTCTCTCTTTCGCTGTCTCTCTCTAGTCAAAATAAAAATAAATAAAGTTAAATAAAATAATTCTTAAATAATTAAACAATAGAAGAGACAACTCACATAATGCCTTCTATCAGTGCCTGAAACCCAGTAAGAAAGAGCTCAGAACTTTTTAGCTGTTACTAAGTAAACAATAAGCAAAATCTTTCTCAAAGTCTGATTCATTTTAGCCCCATTTAACTTTACTTGCTCATCCGTTTGTTTTACTTTTTTTTTTTATTGCCAGAGGACATGTGTGCTCAACAGAGAGGGACAAAGTGAGCAACAGAGAAGGAAAGCGAGGGAGAGGAAAAAAGTGTTTCCCAGTGGGGCATGGTCATACTGCAATCCCTTCTCCCTTCATTTCTTCATCCTGATCGGTGGGATTTGGGGCATGCACACACATATGCCCAGTGTTTTTCAAGCCATGTGAGATGTGGCTCCCTTAACCACCAGGCTACAAAGCCAGCCCTATTTCACAAATACTTATTGAGTTCCTACTGGGAACAAAGTACTGAATATACAGATAAAAACCACAACTGCTGCTCACAAGAAACCTACTCTGAGTGTGGACAAGCAAGAGAATTACAAGACAGTGTGATAAATTATTTGATAGAAATAAGCCCAGGATGTGGATTTGGGAGGGCGTAGGGTGAGGTTTCATGGAACACCACGGCAGTCAGTGTAAGGCACAGTTCTCAGTACTTTGGGGAGGGAAGAAGTGGAAGTGTGTGGAGGTGAAGGGGAGGGACTGGAAAAGAAAGAGAAGTGGGAATTTTCCCTGCTGAAACTCAATCTAGCACTGAACACAAATGACCAAAAAGGGAAGTGAGAAAGGCCGTAAGTGAGTTGCAAAGTGCTGAAAGTGTTCTAAAGAGGAGTAGTTATTTCCAGCTGGCTAGAAGGGTGGGAACTTTATGGAAGAAAGGCCTGTGAGCAAAGCCTGAAACAGGGTAAGTGTTTTCACAAGAGGAGAAAGAAGAGAAAGTGTCCTGAACATGGTGATTCATATTTGGTTGTAGGAAAGGGGATAACACAAGGTTCTTTGAGAGTCCCTTTTTAAATACAGTACTTTATATAAAAATGTGCATCACTATTAGCAATAGTGCATCACTATTAGCAATAGAATTTTCTATTTTAAAGTATTTGTTTTCATCTTTATTTTGAATCTGGACATTTTAATTTTCAATATATACAGAGTTATAACTATTACGTCCCTTTCCTGCTTTTTTACTTTAGCTCCTAAAATTGAACATGATTTCATCTTTACTGATTTATTTTTATGTATATCATTGTAGTATTATACATATGTACTACTAACAATTCACCGATCACAACTGCTTCTCAATTCCAAATATATGAAGACAATTTGATAGACTAGAATCAAACCATAAGTAATGCATGTTTATATAATTTTCTGATTAGATTTCCACATGGATATTATAGTGTTCATTTATTATTTTAAGATATAGAATACTTTTTCATATCATGGGCTTTTTTATAAAGCAACTCTTAGACATGCCATTGCCCTTTCAAAAGCTTCAACTTTGTATTTTAATCAGATATTGATATTCTCATTACAAGTTCATATGACTTATCTAAGTCAGATAATTTCATTCTCATAATTTGTCTACTTTTCTGAATTCATCCAATCATGGTTGTGATGAGTTGCTTTGTTATACTACCTTGTAATCTTCCCTAATTTGATAAGAAGATGTACCTTTTAATAATCCCTTTCATCAATGATTGTTTCTCCTATAAAGATTTTCACAAAAATAGGAAATGTAAGTTGGTTGGAAAATATAAGAAAATTCAGGGCATTGATTTACTTTGAAACATTTAGTTTGCAATTCTGTTTCTTGGTTCTCAGAAAAAGTCCATTTACCATGAAAATAATGGCAACATGATTAACTCAAAATAGTATCTACTGAGGGGGAAAAATAGAAGGCAGGGATCAAAGCTGTGGGGCTCCATATTCCTTTACCTTTCCGTGGACCAGGTGAAGAAGTACAGGTCTTTGCAGAGCTTCTAAGTTTTCCTTCCCTATAACCTTAGGTGTTGTTTTCCCCTTGAAGATGCTCTTCTCTCCTCTCTGCTGATTCACATCTTCGACATTTACATCTTTTATCTGGAGTTATGGAAAGAAACCTATTAGAAAAACTTCCTGTGTGTGTCTTCAGCATGGTCTCTAAGAAACTAAAATGGTAAAGGAATAGATAGGGTTGGCCCTCATTTCTTTCATCATTTTTAATCCATGATTCATAGGACCTTACAACTCACTTTGAAAGAATGCAGAAGGTATTAAAAATTAGAATTTTTAATAAGGCCAAAAGAACTCTCTGACTTCAGGCTTATAGTAATCATGGCTTGAATATGTTTCTCTTATGTCATTGTCACTCTCTTCATTTGTTTTGAATGATAACTCTCTCCTAATCACTTTACTTTCTGTACCATTTGTCTAAAAGGACTCCTGCCCCACTCTACCATATCTGTATATATAAAATTAAAGAAAAACAGTCTAATTACTGAACAAGAAGGTATACTATGTTGTCCACAGAACAATTTACTCTCCTATTGAGAAATGGCTCAGACAGGTGGAGTTTTGATCCAACTTGCAAAACACAACTGTTAGAGAGGTCCAAAGAAGCAGAGATCCTTGGTAAAATGCATTGAGATTACATGGCATTCTCAAGGACATCAGCACCCACCTGCTCCAAGTACCTGGCCCCATTCCTGTTGCACATGAACATGAAGAGTAGACTCAAGAACTTTTCTTTACTAAAGGAGTCTATTGCCTTCAGGTCCTTGAGGAGCAAATATGGAATCGCCATATGTTAACATTAGAAAAGGCCCCAAAGGACATCTAATTTGACGTTCCTTCTTAACCATGCAGGGTGTACCTGGTTCGCTCTTCAGGAAGAACATGGGATAGATTTACTCTCTCATTAGTAATTCCACCAGTTACATCAAGGAACTCAGGTACCTCCTGATTTATTTCCTCATTCAGTTAGCATGATCTCAATCACTTTTCACATGACAGTTTCGAGACCCCCTCACTGCTGAATCAATTTTAAATTGATTCTAATTTAATGTCCCTTTTAACAGGCATATAGAATCAGACATCGTATTCTGGTTACAAGTATGTATTTTCTACTGCCTAATTTAAAAACTTTGAAAAATTAGATAATGTTTGATTAACAAAAACATCTAGTTATTTTAGAGTTAGATAATAAACTAAGCGGATGTGTAGCAAGTTGTACAGAACAAGTGCTATCAAATGGTACACTTCTCAAAGACTCTGCTTTCTGGTAGAACATGCCCACCGTGATTTTAATCAGTTGGTCATCATCACCATCAGGATTCCTCCAAAGTAAGACAACATCCACGCTGGATGAAATTCGGAAGCCCACGCTGTCTTGGAGTTTTCCTTTGCCCCGATCAAGAAACACTTCAGTGGAGTATGCAAGCGTATACAGACGATCATTATTTAATGAGAGACCAGTTGTGTGACCTACACAAAGACAGTGACACAAGTCAAGTTTTTATGTCAGGCATGTGTCAGGCCAGGGAATGTGCTGTCTTGCTGTCAGTGCATTCCTCTACACAGTGGCATTCAGGGGGAACTTAGTAAATATTATTCAATTATCTGAATATTGCCCTGGTTGTACTATAGAATCTATTATTATTTTTAATTCCCAGGAGTGTGCACTTGCCAGAAAGACAGAAATAGAGAGAGGGAAAAGCACCCCTTAATGGAACATAGCCATCCTACAATCTCTTCTTTTTTCTTCTCCCTCCTGTTGGGATTTGAGGCATGCATGCATACATGTCCAGTGTGTTTTTCAAGCCACAAGAGCCAGACATGTGGAATCCAGCTCCCTTAACCACTAGGCTATGGGGCTTGCCCTACTACCCAGTATTTTTTAAAAGAGATGCTGTTATGTTGCTTTTAATTATGTGATATGATTTACAAGTGGAGGTCCTGCCAGGAATTCTTTTACAAATTTAATAAAGAAACTTTTGTAATTAACATATTATTTCTTGAAACAGGTCAATGCCAAAGAAATACTAGAAGTTAATGTTTTAATATTTTTTGTATTTAAGGAATATCCCTCCAGTGTAATTATTCTATTAATTAGCAATTTTTAGTACAAAGGTACATTTCAGAGCTACATGTATATAAATTTAAATGATCCATGCCTGAATGAAATGGTGTTTTAATACAGAAAATCTTAGCACAGGCCTAAATTTCGCAGGGGCAATTTAATATTAAATAGTATCCAAGTCAGAACTGTGAGCCAAAAAATTTGAGAGATGGATGGGTTCACATGCTCTCTCCAATTCAGCTTAATCTATTCTGAAGAAATGTGAATGAGTAAGATCAAGTCTTTCTTAGACATGACTTGAAATGTATGGGCATATAAATTCTTTTTGTGTATTTTGTAGCCATGATTCTCAGGAGAGAGTCACAAAGAGTCTTCAAAATGTTTATGTAAAATGCACAGTATTAAAAAACCTATGTATGGATTTCTATTCTTTTGCACCAAAATAAACATATATTTAATTCTTTTTACATGAACTTTTTGAAGTACTTTTGTGTATCAGCTGTTGTTATGTGTATTAACTCATCAAATCCTACCAAAACCTAGTGAGGCAGGCAGTATTATTAGTCTCTCTACAGATAAAGAAACTGAGGGGCAGAGATTATGTCATTTTCCCAAGGTCACCCATGTAATTAGCAGTAGGGACATGATTTGAACCCCGGCTGCCTGGCTCTAGAGATGATCTTCTTAACTAACTATATACTTCTAAAACTCTAGGTTGAATTCATTTCTTTTCCTATAGAGTAAGCTAGAAACCTACTTGTTTATTCAACAAACATATACACCTGCAGGGTGGTGGGTACTTTTCAAGGCTCTGGGTCAATACGAGCTAACAAGCAGACAGAATTTTTACCTTCGTGGAGCTCTCCTTTTAAAAAAAAATGTATTTAATTTTATCTCTTCATTAATTTATTTTAATTTTACCAGAGAGAGACAGAGAGAGAGAGGGAAAGTAAGAAAGCAAGTCACCAGGTCTGGGACTTGAACCATTGTCAGCCATGTGGGAGTGACCAATACCTTAACCACAATGCTACCTGCTGGCCCCGTGGAGATCACCTTTAAATAAGAAGAGATGAGCAATTTAAAAATAGTATATTAGCAAATGTCCAAAGTACTAGTGACAAAAAACAAAAGAGGCAAGGGAGGGAGGAGGCTGAAGGGAAGACTTCTGTGAGACGACACTGCACGAAGGACTTCCTCTGACCCTCACACTCCTACTCTCCTCGCTTCCCTTCACAGAGGGAACATCAAGTGCAAAGGCCTTGGGGAAGGCTCCTGCGGGTGTCATGGAAGAACAGCAGAGAGGCCAGAGAGGCTGGAGTTAAGTACGTCAAAGCAGGAGATGAAGTCACGGGGGTGTCTATATGTGGCCAGGAGACTTGGGGGACATTTGCATAGACTTAGAGCTGAGAGGGATACCAACAGAAAGACCTGGTGTTGCCAGATCTCTAAAGAACATAAACAGGGAACTATTTATCCAAGAGAAAAAGGTAACAGGAAAGGCACTTAGCACAATTCACTTTGAACTTTCGGTGGTGAACTTACATTATCCTATGAACCTTCAAAGAAAGAAGGCAAGGACTTTAATGGAAATCAAGAAGAGCTGGGAAAAGAAAGTATAGGAGCAGGTATCCAAATGTGTGCACACAGAACAAACCATGTCCAGACTTCCAGTCAGAGAACCTGAGCTGTGGGATACAAAAGGCAGAGAAAATGAGGAAAAGCCCTGAAGGAGTAAGTTGGAGACCCCCTCCAGTCTCTCGGTCTCCACCTCTTCCGGATTTTAACTGGGGGCTCTGCAGCAGATTCAAACACTGGCTTTCTGGCCAGGAAAGATATTTTGGCCAGGGAGGTGTTCATTTTATGGCACCTATCAAATTCCACAAGGGCACAGAGGAGATAGGTGTTGGCTTATCTAATCCTCACAGCAATTCTGAAAGGTCAGCATTAGAAGGCAGGTGACAGGAGCTGACTCCAGGTTCTAGCCCAAATAGCAAATGTAGTGTAAAATTTTATGTTTAAATTTACTGAAGTCCAAATTTTGTGGACTACATGAAGGTGTCTTCTGATTTAAATAATTGAAAATTTTGTAGGAAGGTAGTCTTAAGTCTCAAAGCTTTCCAAACTATTATGCTGTTCATTATTTCCTTAGTTTTACTTCACTGGTCCAAAGAACATGTCTATGACTTGGAAGTGATAAGGCACAGGAAAAAAAATGGAGCTTTTTCTCCCAAAACTTTTTCCTAACTCTCTCGATAGGAGATAAAGCCTAAAATGTTTCAAAGAAGTGAATTGTGGTAAGTGCCTTCCCTGTTACCTTTTCTTTTTTGATAAATATTTCCCTGTTTATGTTCCTTTGAGATCTGGCAACCCCAGGCATCAGGCCATGCTCACTTTATATTGCTAACTTCACTTCTGTTTTAGGGTATTGCTTTTCTGAGTATCTATAATGGCAGTTTTGGGGAAATTGATGTTAGATAAAGGCCAAAAGAAAAATTAATTTTAAAAAGATAAAAAGGAGTCAATATCTCTCAATTTGCCCCTTCAAGTGCACTTAGAACTTTTAAGTGACTTAAAAGCAACAAAACTCTTGATTTAAAGGCAACAAAACTCTTGATTTTCAACCTTTTTAAAACTATGTTAAAATATTCATTTAGCAGGAACCATCTGGTGGCACAGTGGTCAGGATGCTAGATCCCACATGATGAACTCAGTAGTTCAAGTCTCAGACCTAGCAGCCTGAAAATACACTGGGTACATGTGCATGTGTGCCCCAAATCCCAAGAGGATAATGGAGAAAAACGGAATTGTGGCATGGCCATCCCCGGGGGTGATTTCTCACTTTCCCTCTCTCTGTCTCCAGAGAGTGCAAACTCCCACTAGCCAAAAAAACAAAAACAAAAACAAAAACAAAAACAAAACAAAACAAAAACTAAAATAAATAAGTAAAATACTCATGCAGGAAATTTAGATTAGCACAATAGCAGTTAGCTTAAGCAAGAAGATAAAGTAGAGCTAAGTTGGAAGTGAGATTTAAAGAGATCTGCAACTGATAAAAGGATGATGGGTAATGGCATTTAAGAACACAACGGAAAACTAGGTCAGAAATGAATGAGAGGGATGAAGGGTAAGAAAAAAGAAAACAACTGAAAAATGATTAATGTAAACAAACTGTAAAGTAAGGGCAGAGCGAAGGACTGAGCTAAAGACAGGAAGCGAAGGAACCACTCAGGTGTAAAGGTAACAAAATTAGGCAGAAAATTTAAAGTGCTATGTGAAGAAAACCTAATGAAGGCACTTAGAATAGACCCACAAATACCTAGTATAATTAAGGAAAAGTAGAGAAAACTTGAGTCTTCAGACAGTTCACTCAGCAACTTACATAGACCTCTTATATACTAATCCTAGCACTCTCTTTCATTCTCTTCACATTCCAACCTGCCCTCACAGCTACCCAGATCTGAGAATTTACTAAAAAGTTGCATTAAAAATGTAAATTAGAGGGAACTAGCAGTTAGCGTAATGGCTATGTCGCTGGACTCCCACGTAGTCGACCGCGGTTCGCGTCTCGGACCCGGTGGCTTAAATCTCACGCCGGGCGCGTGTGCGTGCGTGCCCAAGATCCCGAGAGGAGAATGGAGGAGAAGGGATTGCGGCATGACCATCCCCCCTGGGGGGTGATTTCTCGCTTTCTGTCTCTATGTCTCTGTCTTTCTGGCTGTCTGGCGAGTGCACGCGCCCTATAGCGAAAACCTCTCAAAAAAAAAAAAAAAAGTAAATTAGAGACAAGTTTTGAAGTGACACATGGTATCCCAAATGTAGAATGGCCTAATTTCAAGGTAGACTCTTCTAAGTAGTTTCAGGTTAAATGTCAACCATAAGAACAAATAATCTATTAATGAAATCATGGCACCATAATGTGAAGGGTTTATCTTATCTCAGTAGAGAGATATCAAGTTCTCTTTTTTTTTTTCCTAAGATTTTTGCCATAGGGCACATGTGCTCACCAGAGAGAGGGAAAGTGAGAGAAGATGGCCATGCCACAATCCCTTCTCCTCCATTCTCCTCCTGGGATTTTGGGCACACATGCACATGTGCCTGGTATGATTTTTCAAGCCGCCAGGTCCAGGACTCTAATCAAGGTTGGCCATGTGGGAGTCCAGTGTCTCAACCACTGTGCCACCTGCTGGCCCCAAGTCCTCTACTTTCTATTTATGATATTTGGCATAAGCAATTTGTACCACAATGTTAGTGAAGTTTAAGCTCTGGGACCCACACATTTGCCTAGGCTCTTTCCAACACCTTGGAAAGGGACCCAGGCAATATAGACACATATCATAGCTTTTTCCAGTAACCTTTGCAAAAGTAACATCTTTTTGTAATCTTTTCTCCAAGACATCTCCTAAGCATAGGCTTCACTTTCTGAAAATCTGAATTCGCTATGGAGCCTGTATACAACAAATCGTAGCTATGGTCCAAACTACATTTTTCCTATATGCCATTGTTCTCCGTGTGTATGCATGTGTGTGTGTGTGTGGGGGGGGGAGGTGGGCTTAAATCCTTTATAAATGCACTTGAAAATATTAAGTTATCCAAGTTTCTAGTTTAAAGGCCAAAACTGCTATATCACAATTATTTTTCTCGATATAATCATGGTATTAGATTTGATATCATGGCATTCGATTTGCTCATATATCAAACACTCAATTTGAAAAATAACATAGGAAACTCTTCTATACAACAACCCTCAGTTATATAAAATTTTTAAATCTTTGCTTTTTTCTGACTTAAATTTTCTTCAGCTAAGTAAAGACTGTATCATTAAATACTAAACATTTTAGAAGCTGGTCCAAGAACTCTAAAGTGTGTTTTGCTTAGGCAAAGTAATTTCAGCTTAGCCCTTTATTGCCCTAGTAATAGACTGTCTCTTTTCCTCATGTGAACATTCTTCACACAAAAAATCTTGAGACAAACTTTATTCTATGATCAACAGCCACATTTATCCTAGAAAGGTTTTAAAAGTTTAAGTGTGAATTGTTTTAAATCAGTTACTTAGAAAAATGGACCCTGTCATACTAAGTTGTATTTCAGATTAATAGGTTTTAACAGTGTCTTTTTACAAAATGCTAAAAAGTGATCATTTTATACAGTACAACATTTAGAATCCCAAGCATCTTATATTCTAGCTGATTTAAAACAAAAATTCCATATTAATACATTTCAGACAGCCTTTGAAATAATTTCTCATAAAATGTTTTCTCTCTCGCTTTGAGGACAGCAACTCTTATGTGTTCTTAAAATCAATTTAATCTCAAAACTGTAGCTAGAAATATTGTTTTCCCAAAGACAATAAGCCTTATTTCTTAAATCTATATTAGATAGTTTGACTTTTTTTTTATCAGCAACTATGACCATTTTATCACTTTTGAATAGTAATAGTACTAATACATGCTTTGCCACTTCATTCATAATTCTTTGGCAAATCAAATGCCTTTTTCATTGGGTCTAACTCTTCTTGATGTCACATTGCTAAGCAACTAGAAAGATATTTAAGACCTTTTTTAAAAAGTCCTCTTTTACAATTCAAATGAAGGCACTGCATTCAGTGTGACCAACTGAAGCAGGTAACAATAGCTGGCATCTTTTCTTCCCCCTTTTGAACTTAGACCATGAATGAGAATTGAAGCAAGAAACACTGGTCTGAGGGACTGAAACTAAAAGGAACCTCTGTTTTCTTAATGTATGGAGGAATTTAAATTTGGTTTTCCATTCGACCCCATTGGCCTTTCTCAAACATTCCAAAGTTACATGGTTTTAAAGATGGTTTAGTTACAAACTCTTTGACTATTTACACACACATGCACACATGTTCCCCACCAAAGACTAAAATTAAAGTTGAGCAAAAGACGACACACACTCACCCTTAACAGAAGCTGAGTATGAGGAAATGAAGCAGAGGAACAGCACAGCCAGCAGGATCATGTCGACTGGCAACCCTTGAGTGCATTCAGTTCCCAGAGAGGAGCCACTGAGAACGGGACTCTTGTGATGGCAGCCAGTGGAGTGACCCTTCTCAGAACCTGCAACAATAATGTTTATCTATGAGGAAAGGTCAGATTCCAAACTCCAAAATCAGGACCTAAGTTCACTGAAGGGCTTTCTATTAATGATTAAACGTAGGTGGGCTGCCGTTTTCAGTCTCTCACTCTTCCTATTTTCACTCAATTAGAAAAAAAAATCAAGAAAGTTTCTACTTTTCAGAGCTAAAACCAAGCCAGTGTACTTTCTAAAAATGCAGAGGTCCACAGGGACATTCAAAGAGAACTGGTGGTGATACCAGTTTGCTGCTTAATATCCTCATGGTCTTGACCATACTATTAACTGCTTGTATTTACATTTCTCCACTTCATGTGGGAGGGGAGTGAGGATCCTCAAATGGAGCAAAACCTTAGTGAATTTTCATAAATCTTGTACAGCTGGTCTTGGATTTTTTAAATATACTATTTGTATGCTATTATAAAAAAAAATCACTCTGAATTTTAGGATTTAAATTGAAACCATTAAGTTGTACCACCACCAATCACTTCGAAATAATGTTAAAGTGGATGAACTTTAATTCTCAAAACATAGATGATTCTCTTCATTTGTGAAACTACAAGGTTGGAGCACCTTGGCATTGCCTCTCACGGACAGGCTGGGAGGCCACCCAAGAATACCATAGCAGAGCTGCACTGACATTGAGGACGAGAAATACTTGTCTGAGACCTCAGATTGGCCAAATGGAGCTGTCAGCTTTCTGAATTCCATTTCTAGGAAAAGATTCAGAGGGGTAATTCCAGCTCTTCGCACTTTTGAAACAGAATATTGATCAGGAAATTCTCCAGAATTAAAGTAACTACCTTAGTATAGCTATGGCCACACTAACAGAGCCAACCCTCTTCCCTGGAAACTTTCATGAGAGATCTGCAAAAGTGGTGGCTTGGAGGGTATGTGGGAATGTTTTGGCAAAGAATGGGAAAAGTGCTGGTGAAGAGCTATTTGAACATACTTGAAAATATTTATGGCCATGTTTCAGTATCAAATAAGTTCTTCAGTTCCCCTGGTCTCCCTCAAAAACTTTCCTAGAACCCTAACCTGAGCCTAAACCTTCTAGACAACCTAAGTAAAAGACAGATTGACAGAGCCACAAGGTGAAATATAAAATTTTAAAATCCCCAAAGTTAAGCATATTTCCTCTATCTATATATAAAATTCATGAAAGAGCACATGCACACACACGAGGGTAGGACCGAGCGGGAGAGAAATGAGCACACTCCACAGGGTCTGGTTGCACCATGATCCTTTCCTCTAGTCCTCCCGCCCATCAGATCATGGTGCTGGTGCAGGTGTCTGGCATGTTTGAATTATATTTTTATGTAAAGAACTGAAAGATGAAAATAATTGTTTTTATCTTCTATTGCGATAAAAACTTCATTTACTATCACAGATTTTGTGCATAAATCATGGTTAAAGTCCTCATGAAAAATAAAGGGGGCCAGCTCAGTGGTGACACACTGCTCACAGAAAGCTGAAGCCATAGGGAGATCATGAGTCTTACGCTCCAGTTGACCTGTACATGCCATATGCATGTGCCCATGCTGGCTGGGAAAGCTGAAGGTGGAATATGATGTGGGACCCCACTGACGGTACTTGTCTTTTTCTTTCTCTCTCTGTCTCTTATAGTCATGAAGGAAAGAAAGAAACGTTTCAAAAAATGGGTTAGAAATATAGGAACGTTGGGCCAACAGGTGGGGTAGTGCTAAAGGTGCTGGACTTCCACATGGGCAAATGTGGTTTGAGTTCAGACCCACCAGCTTGAAACTCATGGGCGTGTCTGCATGTGTGCCCAAAATTCCAAGAGGAAAATGGAGGAGAGGGATTGTGGCGCGGCCATCCTTCCTGGTTATTCCCCGACTTTCTGTCTCTCTGTCTCTTTCTGTGTCTCTGGCAAGTGCACGCACCCTATAGCAAAAATCTCTCTTAAAAAAAGAAAGAATGAAATATAGGAACATCATCTTAAAGTTGTAGGTGTTAAGTCTTCCTGGGGTTAACAGAAAAGGCCAATATTTAAAAAAATACGTTTGTTGAAAAATATGCTTTTATATAAATGGAGGAGTTAGGAATATAAGCTAATGTGCAAGTGCTTTATAACTTTCTACTTAAATAGATTTCTACATGTTCACACAATTTCTATACACAGGGATATGAAGCCACTATAGTCACTTAAACTTTATGTACACATTCATTTAAGTTAAGGACTAGTTAGCATCTTATGTGAATCTTTGAGAACTGTTCTTAGTATTCTCACTCGAGGCTCAGTTACACAGACCTTTAGTATTAGCGATTAGACTGTGTGGTACATGTTACGTGTCTCTTCGGGTAAAGTACTGTTCCTTGTCAGGTGTTTATCAGAGTCCAACCAATAAATGGCATATCATTATTGCCTCATAAAATACCTGCTGCTTAATTTGAGCACTTGATTCCCACCAGAAAGCTTCCTATGAATTACTGCATTAAGTAGTCATTTTAACATAGGGTGTTCAAATAAGGCTGTTTATATTGGTTATAAATAGCATTACCCCTCCATATTTTGCTTATAACTTTTTTCTTTCCCAAAGACCTTCGAGATTGTTCCACCAGCATGGAATAAATATGCCAGAACTTTTCCATATTCAGTGAGCTCTGTGCACCAAGGAAGACATGTTCTCTTCTACTACTTTGCTGATCAAGCACAGCAAATGCTGTGCAAAGTGTATGGGTGATACCTCCTACAACGGACCAGCTATGTTCCATGGCATGTGAAACGGGGCAGAACAGCACAGAATAAAAATAACGAGGGCTGCATCTCTGGAACAGTGACTATGTACAACACACTGTGTCATCCATTTACATTTTTTTTAGAGTATCCTCATCATAATTATTTTATACATTAGAAAAAATAAGGCTAAGATTACTTTAGGAAAGTGCTTTAAGGAATGTAGACAAACAAACCTTGAAACCTAGATCCACTATTCTTTGCTTAAAAAGCACTAACGGTGAGAAGTAGGAAAAAACCTGATTTCTTATAGATGACATGAAGTCGTCAATTGGGACTGTCTTTGAATAAGTTCATCACAATTTTATATGGGAGCTAACAGAGGACTTGGTTTTTTTGGTTAGATGTTTCAGGCTGAACATATAAGAGGGAAAAAAATGACATCTGCTAGTCAGATCAAAATCAAATAATAACATTTTAAAACAATGCTATCACAATGAATTTTTTTGGTATTACATGATAACGTGACACATTTGCTATATGACCATTTTGTAATGAGAAATAAGAAGACTATGAAATAAAAATGGATAACTAATTCCAAAGTACAGATGTGTTTCTGTTGAGTAACAGAGGTTGTTAGGAGTTAACTCATTTTCTTTGATTAGAAGATAAATGAACTTCACCCCACGAAAGGTTGGAAGGAAATGGATTACCTTATTAGAGATATAGTAAATCAGGGTGAATGATAACTACATGAGGTGGAAAATGTGTAACATCAGAACAATTTATTCTTCTCTTAGAAAGAAACATGTTTTTCCAGGACCCCTCCCTGCTTCTTAGGAGCTCTGTTTTTCCTTCCCTCTCCAGTAAACTCCCCACTTTGCTATTTAAACAAAGAAAGGTACATATCAATGAAAAAAATTTAGGACACTTCAGGACTGGCCCCATGGTTTGGTGATTAGGGAAGCTAGATCCTGCATGGCTGGCTGTGTGATTTGAATCCCAGCCAAAGAGGCTTGAGAAACATGGCAGACATGTGTGTGTGTTTGTGTGTGTGTGTGTGTGTGTGTGTCTGTGTGTCTGTGTGTGTGTGCCCCAAATCCAGACAGGATGGAGAGATGGAGAAGGGACTGCGGTTTGACCATAACCAATTGGAGAGTGCTTTCTCCATTTCCCTCTCTGTTTCTCTTTGGTGAGTGCGTGTACCCTCTGAAAAAATAGGAGGGAAAACGGACACTTCAAATTATCCTTAAACAGTTATAGTAATTTAAAGTCTGATAGTGTTTTCAATTAAGTGAGGGAGTTGGCATTTTGAAGGAATTCTAAAAATTTTTTCCCTCAGGTTAACAATATTTTTCTAATGTGCTGACTTCTTTTCTTTTTTTTTTTAAGAGAGGTTTTTCTTTGCTATAGGGCGTGTGCGCTCACCAGAGAGACAGAGAGACAGAAAGCGAGAACTCACCTCCCAGAGGGAATGGCCACGCCACAATCCCTTCTCTTCCACTCTCCTCTCGGGATCTTGGGCATGCATGTGCATGCATGCGCACGCACCTGGCGTGAGTTTAAGCCACCGGGTCGGGGACTCGAACAGCAGTCAACTACATGGGAGTCCAGCAACATAGCCATTACACCAACTGCTGGTCCCGCTGACCTTTTATACCTAGACAAAAATTTACATTTTTTTAGAGTATACTCATAATGATCTTTTTATGTATTAGAAAAACAAGGCTCAAATTAATTTAGCAAAGTGCTTTAAGGAATATAAAAAGTTACATACATGATTTTGAAAGGTACTGTTCAAGAATTCTCTGTAAGAAAATAAAGATTCATTAAATCCCTTCTCTTAACCAAAGTAAAGTTTCAGGCTTGAAACATTTGCAAACCAAGACTTCAAAAAGAGCAGCCATTTTTTCAAAATAGAGTTATTAATCTGATTTACCTCCTCATGCACACGGGCATACATTTGTGACAACAACCAAAAAATCCTTATACATGGTTAGTTGCTGTAAGAGGAACCTAACTTCACATTAGCTTTGGCCACAGAAAACTGAGTTGCTAGCAGTTAAAAGAGAGAATTAAAGAAAGCTCTTCTAGTGAACTACTAAAAAGAGAATAAAATTTCAGTTTTGATCAGAGTAACTTTATAAGACTTTTTTTTTTAACCAGGTTTTTCCCATAAGGCACATGCGCTAGCTTAAGAGAGAGACGGGGGAAAGAAAGAGATAAAGGGAGAAATCATTCCCCCAAGGGAAAGGGTCACCATGTCACAATTCCTTCTCCTCCATTCTCCTCTTGGAATTTTGGGCAAACATACACATGCACCTGGCATGATTTACAACCCACCAGGTCTGGGACTCGAACTACTGCCGGCCATGTGGGAGTCCAGCACCTTAACCACTATGCCACCTGCTGATCCCTAAAATAAAATAATATCTGAATATAAATAAAACATTTGTGGGGTTTTTTTTTAGGTTTATTCATTCATTTCTTCCATGGGGTGGCATTCCCATCGGAGTTCTCATTTTGTAATCCACTCTCAGCCCCAGCCCCAGCCCCATCCTCAGCCAGCCATGATCAAGGCATGTGCTCATGTACCTGGCACCTACAGGAAGACCATGGGATCAAACCCAGGACCTTCCCATGTGGCCTCAGCATCACCGAGCACTGAATTACTTCTGTGCTACTGAGGTTGGTCTGGACCAACTATTATTTTTCTTTATTCACAATAGAACATGTGAATGCATGAGAGAGAAATGAGAACCCTCCCCTCCAAGGTCTGCTCACACTGCAACCCCCTTCCTCCATTCCTCTAGTTGGTCAGATCACAGGCACTTGAGCATGTGCCTGGTGTGTTCACGCTGACCAGGTCAGGGCTTGAGCAGTAATTTCTTGTGAAATTCACCTTTGATTAAGCAGCTGGTTACTGTTGTACTATAGACCTGGTCCCCAGACTAATTCTTTTCTTTTTTTCCTTTTATCTGCATTTATTTTATGCCAAATGTATTCCTGTGCCATAGGTCTTTGCTTCTTCAGTTTCTTCTGGGATGTCCTTTTTTCTCTGTGTGACGTATTCTTTTGGTTTAGGAACAGTTGTTCCTTTTCAATAAGGATCATCTTGATGTGGCAGGGGGAGCTCACGTATGGGTTAATTCAACCCATGAGCTCAGTAAATAGGGTGACACATCCTGGGTGTTTGTTCACCTGGATATGCTTGATGCCAGAGAACTAAATCTATACTCGTAAGTTTAGCATTACTCTTTGTGTTTTTAAGTATGTGTGGCAAAAGTTCAGCACTTTTTGGGCCACTGACCTAGTGTCCAGCCCCACAGTTTGGCCTGGACACACCTACCAACTCTACCATTGTAATGACAGAAAGCACACCTTGCTTCTGTAAAGTGACATCTTTCAGATACTCGGAGGTTCCTTGGATATGCGTGCCCTTAATGGCCTGGGTGATTTCATGGTTGTTCTTTCTTTTTCTTTTTCTTCTTTTTTTTTCTAGAGGTTTTTGTTATAGGGCATGTGCGCTCGCCAGAGAGACAGGGAGAAATAGGGAGAAGGAAAGCGAGAAGTCACTCCCCAGGGGAGATAGCCATGCTACAATCCCTTCTCCTCCATTCTCCTCTCGGGATCTTGGGCATGCACGCACACACGCCCAGTGTGAGTTTAAGTCACTGGGTCCAGGACTTGAACTGTGGTCAACTATATGGGAGTCCAGTAACATAGCCATTACTCCAACTGCTGGTCCCTTCATAGGTGTTCTTAAAGTGAACGCAAAGATTTGAATCTCTTGATTTGCATGATTTTGTGGGGTTTCGCATCAAATAAACAGTGAACTATTTTTACAGATCACCTCAGACCACTTGTGAGAAGCAGCAGCAAACCAATATAATCATCCTTTAGTATCTCTGGGTGATTACCGACAGGATCCCCAAGGATCCTAAAGTCTGCAGATTCTCAAGTCCCCTGTATAAAATGGCACAGTATTTGCATATAACCCATGTTCATTCTCCTGTATTCTCCTCTTTATTAACTCATCTCTAGATTACTTATAATACCTAACACAAATGCTATATAATTCATCTCTTTCCTGTATTGTTTAGGGAGTAATTACAAGGAAAAAGTTTGTACATATTCAGTACAGAGGCAATCATCCCATCATGTGCTTAGCTACATAGTACATATATGTCAGCAACAATGTACTATTTTTGATCCCCAGTTGGTTGAATCAGCCTGAAAGGTACTTTATTAGCTCTCTCTAACTGCCAACATATATTACCACAAAATTAATAGTTTAAAATAGCAACTTTAGGCTGGCCCCATAGTACAGCAATTAAGGATTCTAACCTTAGTTTGAATTCTGGCTCTGGAAGCTAACCATAGTTTGAATTCTGGCTCTAGAGGCTTGAAAAGCATACTGGGCACATGTCCATGTGTGCCCCAAATCTTGACAGAATGGAGAAATGGAGGAAAGGGGAGGAAGCATTACCACACTCCACTGGGGGTGCTTTCACTTTTTCTGGTGAGTACATGCAACTAAAAAAAGAAACTAATTTATTGCTTTACAATTCTGAAAGTCAGAAATCTCACATAGCTCTCACTGAGATGAAGGTGTCCGCAAGGCCATATTCCTTTCTGGAGGCTCTGGGAATCTACTCCTTCCTTTTTCCAGCGTCTAGAGGCTGCATTGACTCCTTGGCTCATGGCTCTTTCCTCCTTCATCTCCAAAACCAGCAACAGTAGGCTGAGTCCTTCTCAAATTGCATCACTCCGATTATCTTTTCTGTTTCTCCATTCTGCTTTACAGATCCTTGTAATTCTATTAGGTTCACCTGTAAAATCCAGAGCAATCTATGTTGAGGCCAACTGATTAGCAACCTTGGTATCATATACAACCCTAACATAGATACTCAGAAATTCTGGGGATTAAGACTTAGAAAGCTTTTGGGAGCCATTTTTCTACCACAGACACTACCACAGATTCAAGGCTCAATAAATCTCAAGCAGGAAAATTAAAAAGAAACCCACATATAGAAATGTCATAGTGAACCTGCAGAATGTCAAGTAGAAAAGTAAGGTTTAATACTGAGACCAGCAGATGGTACAATGGTTACATTGCTAGACCCCCATGTAGTCGACTGTGGTTCAAGTCTCAAACCTGGTGGCTTAAAACTCATGCCAGGCATGTGTGCATGTGTGCCCAAAATCCCAAGAGGAGAATGGAGGAGAAGGAACTGCAGCATGACCGTCTCCCCCAGTGGGTGATTTCTCACTTTCTATCTCTCGGCTGAGTTCACACTCTATAGCAAAAATCTCTCAAAAAAGAAAAAAAGTTTATATAATTTTTAAAGAAGCTAGATAGAAGACAGATTACTTCAAGGAAGTAAGAGAAACAGACAATGGCTAATTTTTAACAGCAACAATGGAAGTTAGAGGCATTAACATGATGTCTTCAATGGGCTGAGAGAAAATGATTATCAATTTGGTATTCTACACTCTGTAATTGTCTTTTAAGTATAAGGTTGAAATAAATACATTTACAGAAAAATTAAAACTGAGAATGTGCAACTAAATGACTTCTCTGAAAAACATCTTATCTATTCCAATCAGAAAAAAAGTAACCTCAGATGGAATCTGAGAGCAGGGAGGAATAAAGAGGATGGCCCCAGCAGTGCGGTGGTTAAACACTCCACAGAGACCAGATTGCACATGTCTGACTAAGATTTGAGTCTTTGCTCCAGTGGCTTAAAAAACACTCCACTCCTGACGAGATGAAGAATTACAGGAAAGAGGGTTGCAGTATGACCCAGCCCTGTGGATGGTATTTTTTTCTCTCTCTTTCTCTTATGTGCATGCACTCGCTGGCATAAAGAGAAAGAAAGAAGGAAGGAAGGAAGGAGGGAAAGAAGGAAGGGAGGGAGGACGAGAAGAAAGAGCAAATAAAGTATGATGACATACTGATTCACTCTTTAAACCTTAACATATCTAAGGGGGTTAAACTTGTTTGATACACAAAAATAATATTTAAAAATTATGCCACAGGAAGGACCTTCTCTGTTATATTGTGAAAATTTGGATACCATGTTTGTTCAATGGCAAGAATTAGATCAATAAGACCTCGCCTATGCCTATCCCAGAGCCAGCTGTTCTCAAAGCACCCAGCATCCAGCGAGATGGGTCACACACCAATGGAGCAGACGTAGGCAGAGCGATGGTGGCCCAGCTCAGGCTGGGGCTGCTGCTGCTGGCACTGCTCATAGCCACGCAGATTTATTCAAGTCAAACAACTGTTGTAACCCTTTCAAGTAACTCCTCCTAGAATACCTCAGCTGCCCCCAATCCAGCTAATACCACCACCAGTGCCCTGCAATCAACAGCCAGTCTCCTTGTGATCTCGCTTTCTCTTCTACATTTCTACTGTTAAAAAAGACTCAGGCCAAGAGATATCTACACTCCCCCTTCTTCTAAACCCAATCTAAATGGCATCTAGA